TTTGTTCAGTATCTTCATCAACGACCTGGAAGATGGCATAGGGTGCACCTATGCAAGTTTGTAGATGACACCAAGCTGGGGGGAATACTAGATATGCTGGAGGGTAGGACTAGAATTCAGAGAGACCTCAATGGATTGGAGGATTGGACAAAAGAAAGCTCATAAGATTCAATAAGGACAAGTGCAAAGTCCTGCACTTATGATGGAACAATCCCATGCACCCATACAGGCTGGGATCCAACTGGCTAAGCAGCAGCTCTGCAAAAAAAGACCTGAGGGTTACAGTCGACAATAAGCTGAATGTGAGCCAAGAGTGTGCCCTTGTTGTGAAGAAGGATAACACCATACTGGTCTGCATTAGGAGGGATGTTCCTAGCAGATTAATATAAGTGTAAGTGATTATTCCCCTCTATTCTGTACTGGCAGGCCACATCTCCAGTACTGTGTCCAGTTTTGGGCCTCCCACTCCAAAAAGGATGTGTACAAATTGGAGAGAGTCCAGCAGAGGACCACAAAAATGGTTAGAAGGCTAGGGAACAGGGCTTATGAGTTTTGCAGAAACTGCAAATTTGGTAGGTCTATGAAAAGGCAGGAAAACGGGGACGGGGGAAGGAAGGGAGCTGCAAACAGAGGCAGGAAGCCCTGATGTGCTGAAGTACAGGAAGGGAGAGGGAAGTGGGAGGGAGCAGGAGGAGATTTTTGTGGTGGAGCTGGCAGCCCCTCCCCATGCCTCTGATTGGCTGAGGGGTCTCACAAGTCCCACCCCTTCCCAGAGATTGACAAATAGCCATCTATCAACCTCCAGGGAGGAGCTGGAGAGGCCCCTCCCTTCCTCTGATTCTGAGGGGCCCCAGCAGCCCTTCCCCTCCCCAGAGGTTGATAGGTGACCATCTGTCAATCCCCACGGAGAGCCAGAAGAGCCCCACCATGCCTCTGATTGGCCAAGGGGCACCAAAAGTCCTATCCCTCCCTGGAGATTGACAGGTGGCCACCTGTCAATCTTTGGAGAAGGGTGGGACTTCTGGGGCCCCTCGGCCAATCAGAGGCATGGGTGCAGTGGCGCTCCACTATGAAAATGACACCCAACACCATGCCAGGACTGTGACTTTGGAGGCAGCCTCTATGAATTAGGTAGGTCTCTACTTAGGAGGGAGGCTGAGGGATTTGGGTTTATTCAATCTGGAGAAGAGAAGACTGAAGGGTGGATTTAATAGCAGCCTTCAGCTACCTGAAGGGTGGGTGGTTCCAAAGAGGATGGAGCTAGACTGCTCTCAGTGGTGGCAGCTGACAGAACAAGGAGCAATGGTCTCAAGTTGCAGCAAGGGAAGTTGAGGTTGGATATTAGGGAAAATCTCTCTCATTAGGAGGGTGTTAAAGCACTGGAACAGGTTATCTAGGAAGGTGGTGGAATCTCCATCCTTGAAGGTTTTTAATACCTGAGTAGACAAAGCCTTGGCTGGGAAAATATATTTGGGGCTGGTTCTGCTTTGAGCAGGGAGGTAGACTAGGTGACCTCCTGAGCTCCCTCCCAACCCTGATTTCCTATGATTCTATGACAGGGAGCTGTCCTGGGACAACCTCAGGTTGTTTCTCAGGGCAAATGGCAATGCAATGAAGAGAAACTTGAGGCTCTGCAGGTCCCCTGCAGGTGGGTTTATGACACCTGGTATAAAGACTGTAGATTAAAAGGCATGAGGTTCCAAGTGGAAAAACAAGAGGGTGGCCAGAATGGCAGCTCTCAGCAGTGCCTGCAATGCTAGCATGTGCAGCAGGCGTTTAGGGAGCTCAAGCTGTTGCAGCTGCTGTGTCCCCTGTGAAAGGAAGTAAGCACTTGGCACCCTTCCACACACCCTATGTGCCCCTCCACAGTGCACAGGGCACCAAAACTCTTAGTTATGCCTCTGGTTGTTAGCTTTCTGTCTTGCTACAGTTTGTGAGGCAGTCTGAAAAATGACAGATGTAGAATACACTGCATTTAATAACATATAATCAGTATTTATGGTGCAGCATCACTTACAGTGTAATCACGTTAATTTTATTCAGGCAGTTGAAGTGGCAAATCAGATAAAAGGAGGATATAAACAAAAGACTTAATTCACAAGGGAGATTGAGGGGTTGTAATGCTAACTTTGAAGCACCCTGATGCTGATAGAAAGCAACAATGCTGAGTTGGAGGCCCAGGCTCTCTTATACAATGCACTGTAGAGTTAGGCACCTAGAGGAAGGTATTCGCATAAGCCATCCATCCAAATGGAGAGCTGCCATTAGGAAGCTGAAAAGAGGGAACTCTAAGCCAGGGATAGGCAAAATACAGCTTGCAGGTCAGATCCAGCCCAGAGGCAGGCAGCAGCACTGCGCAGCGGACCCTGGGCAAGCTGCGCTCAGGCCCCTGCCTCTTCTGGCAGGCAGTGCGGGCAGCAGATCTGGCCTCCGCTGGTGGTGTAAAGGACGCTGGGCAGCAGCAGCCCCACCTGCCTGGTGCCACAGGGGATGCTAGGCAGAAGCAGCCCTGCCCGCCTGCTGGGCAGTGCATGGCACCAGCAGAGGCCAGAGCTGACACCCGAGCTCCCCTTCAGCAGAGGCGGGGGCCCAAGCGTGGCTCACCCAGGGACTGCCATGTGGTGCTGGGCAGGTGGGTGGGTGGGGCCGCTTCCATCCTGCATCCCCCTACAGCACCTGGGAGATGTAGTCTGGCCATACAAGTATTGGGCAAACTGCGCTTGGTCCCCAGCCTCTGTTGGGAGGTGCCACCTAGGGCCTATGGAGCCAGACTGCATCTCCCAAGCATCATGGGGAACATTAGATGGAAGCAGCCCTACCTGCCTGGCAGGCCCTGGGTAAGCTGTACTTGGGCCCTGGCACCTCTGGTTCTGGCTGCCACACAGTGCCAGGTGGGCAAGTGGGGCCACTTCTGCCCAGCAGCTACTGAGGCCCACTCATGGCTTGTCCAGTCCCTGCCCATGAGAGATGGAGCCTGGCTGTGGGTCTCCGTGCTGTCCCACCCCACCCTGCCATCAGGGCTACTAGGAACCGTGGGGTGGGGGCATGCACACCAGGAGCCCCTATGGCAGGGTGGGACAGCGTGGAGGCCTGCAGCCACGTTTCATCCCCTGTCTCTCAGCTGCAGACATGGCCAGTAGGTGCAAGCTCCAGGCAGCAGGGGAGGCAGTCGTGTGTGTGTGTGTGTGTGTGCGCGCGTGTGCGCACGCATGTACATGCATATGTGTGTGTGTGTGTGTGGCCTTCAACTCACCCAAACTCATTGCATGGCCCTCCAGCCCAAATAATTGCCCACCCCTGCTCCTCAAAAGGTAGCAAAATAACTAAATCTGGGTTGGACGAAGGTGTATCAATCCCCTCTGTGTTCACAACCATTGATCCTGTTTTGGAGTTCGGTGCCTAAAGGATGTGAGCCCACAAAAACCCAAGGAAAAGCCCTAATACTTAGCAGCTTCAAAATTAGAGCACTTTAATATTTGTGTCCTGAATACCAAGATATAGAGTCAGTCAATAGGGCTTACTGCGAGAGATACAACCCAGAATATCCAATAGCCCAGAGTTTGGGGTCATTATGAGAAGTGGGTAATGGGTTCAAAATGTTTTTCCAATCAAACAGATGAAAAGGGATTTAAATCAGTCTCCCATATTCTAGACGAGTCTCCTAATTATTAGCTTGTTAGGTATAAGGAGCCCAGTAGGATCATTTCCTCTTCATGTTCTGTGAGAGAAAGGCCTCATCTGGCTTATGACTATGGATCCCATGAGGCAACTGGGTGCTAGATGTTACCATGCTAAGCTTAAATCCCCGTGGTAGATGTAACTTTTAGTGACTTTAAGTGCCTACAGTATTTACTTGAGAAACCAATTAGGCTTACTCTGCACATAGTTTTAGTACCAATCTGATTATTTCAAGTTGGAGTATGGCTTTTTACCAAAGTAAGTTTACCACATCTAATAATATTTAAAAAGTGCTTTCTAATTATTTAGTTTATTAACCATTTCTTTTGGGAATAAGCTATAACAGTATAAGCACCTTTTATACCCATATAACTGCATCCAGTCTAGGGACTTATACTTCATTATCTGCATCAGTAGCACAACATTTGTTTGTAGACAAGGGCCCACCACACTAGCCCATCAGGCTGATAGGATTAAGGCACACTGAACACATGGCAGTATTGTGGCCACCTTTGAGTCCCGAGCCCAAGTGACCAGGTTTCCGTATACAACTAGGTTAACTAGAGGTATCTTTAGCAAAAGCCCAAAGTGACGCTGAAATCTACACCTCTGAATCCGTAGAAAAACACCTAGAAAACACTGAATCCATAGAAAAACTATTCTAGCATCACATCCTCTGTGGGCAGATAGCCACTGGTAAATCAGCACACCTTATTAAATCAGCCTTAAATTAAAGTGCTTTATATTGATTTAGCCTAAGGTAATACTTTAAAATCTAAACTAATTTAGTAAAAATTCTGCAACTTCTGTATATGAGCAAAGCCTAAGTTATGATCACGCATTATGAGGCAATGACTTTTATTCTGAATTGACTATGAAAAAAACCCCAAACCTCATGGTTTACCAGATGCTAGAAACAGATGTACTCTCCTCAGTTCTCTTTCAAACTGCTATGAATGGTAATTCTGCAGCACTAGGTTTGATTCTATTCAATGAAAACAATACATTCAGCATTAAAAGTTAATCACATTTTTACATAAAAAAAACTTTTAATAAATTGCATTGTTATCATAAGTTGTCTGATGAAGAAGGCGATACAATGCAAGCGGTTGTTATTTTTTCCATGTTGCATTTATTTTTAGATGGGCTACATTTTAGAGGATGGAAATACAGAAAGAACACTGATTCAAGAAATAAGTCTTCATTTATAAATACTTGCTCAGATAGCAAAACAGAACTTCTGTTTTGCCATCACATGGCAAAGGTAGCAAATCATGTAAATCTGTGTGTAGATAGCTCCTCCCAGTTTTCGGGGGGGGGGGGTTCTACTTGCTTCTGCTTTTGTAAAATGAGAGCAAATTTCTCCACAGGGAACAGAGTTTCAGACATCAATAACAGCAAAGAAAAGAACTGTACTGTATAGAGCCTTCGAAATACTGTAATAAAAGACAAAAGAAAATGACACGGTAGAGAAAAATGAAATGCTGAAATGTGGTTATACACTTTTTGACATTACAGATTTTCAACATCTTTCATTTTTCACTATTTTTAAATCTTCAGGGATGAATCATGACTTACCTTACATACAAGGGTTGTTCAGGAGAAAGCAGAAGCTGTAAAGTAATAAAAGAAAGATCGGTAACAGACATGTACCTGAGTCAATTTGAGGAGATAAAGAAAACAGGCGTATAATATGAAGTAGGTAAACTTAGGAGAGAGAAACCAGAACAAATAAGTTGAGAAATGAGAAAAACATTTTCTGAGACTATGTTCATTACTATAGTGATAATTTTCAGAAGCTAAATATAATGAACGTTATAGAAAGTGCACCAAAACTTTTCAAGATTGTAACCTACAGATAAACTGAAACTTAGTTTGTAAGCTATTGTGTCTGCTGTGGTACAGCCTTACCAAGAGAATGGAAAGCAAGCTCAGGTCCTAATTGAAATATCATTCTTGGATAGAAACTTTTAAATAAATAGCTTATTTTTAATGCCATAAAATAATTAAGTTACTCTAATAGCATAAATCCTATATATAATGTAATTGAAATGTGTTGCATGAAATAAGGAAAAATAAAATGGAAATATATATGCCTCTTTGAATATCTACCCCAAATGTATCCTGTAGTTTCATGAAAAAGACTACAATCTAGAAGGTTTCTGTCATTAGATCTCTGGGTTCTCCTCAATGGTGGTTAATATATCACCTTAAGGATACAGATAACCTAGCTGTCTCATATTTACTTTGTAAGTCAAAAGAACAATCCCACCACTAGACTATATCATTTACACTCTCATTCTCTTTCACCTAATTATTCTTGAATTATTTCAGCACAGTGGTTCAACTTCAGCAAAAGGGATGAAGAATGACCCCACAGCTAAGCTTAGGCTATAGCCTTCATAGCTAAGGCTCTCTCTTGAGAGTGAAAGGTGTGGGTTCAAATCTTCTCAAACTGAGGAGGAAACTAAACCTATTCCTCACACTTCTTGAGCAAATGCTCTAGTGACTAGAATACTGTACAACAGGTGGCCATGAAGAGACTTCCTGTCCTCTTCAGTTCTTTGAAACAAGTTGCAGGCATCTCTGCTTAGGAAAGGATTTTGAACTGTGGATGGAGGCACCTGTCTGCAATCTAGATTAGGTACTTAAACTCCAGCACTTAAACTGCCCTCATCATTTCCTTATTGGATAGCTCTAGGCAGAGCCCTGTTTAACTCTTAACCAGCCAAACACAAGGACCAGATGCTTAAAAGTCTAGCCCATGGGCTTACTCTTTTGTTGAGCCTATCAGATTGGTTTTTCTTAGAAGGACTGAAGCTTAAAAACAGAGAAGAACAAAAGGATGATAAAAATTTAAATTAAAACTCTCAGTGGAGTTATTTAGGGAAACCATTCTGAAACACATGCACCTGCTAGGCTGTCTGAAGAAGTTAGTCCTCTTAGGTTACCAGCAGAGCACACAGCAAACCTTTAAGACTGAAGCGGGAGTAGACTGTTGTCATCCTCCTGTTCCTATTTACAAATGCCAAGCCCAGAAATATGATGACAAAACCTCAGTAACGTACGTGGGTCTCTGGTGCCTGGGGGCCAATGCTTGCATTTGCGCACCCCCCATCCCTCGTACCAATACTTAAAGTCACACCACGTAATAAGAACTTTGAAGGGCCTGGCTGGCAGCACCCCCCTGCCCCATGTCAGTCCGCCAGTGCAAAGCCCCTGTGGGAGACCCCATTCAGCTACTCTGAAGCACACTGGAGACAGAGATCTCAAGAGTTGCCATTAGGGACAACCCCAGAGGTTTTAGGGTTTCTGGGTTAGACATGTGCCATCAGGAGGACAGGGAGTGCTCAAGAGTGGCCCTATCTGGGAACTTTAGAACCACAGTGTAGGTACTCATACCTTCCTCTGTCATACCTGCTGAATCAGAATAAGAAATCAGACCCGCCATACAGATAAATATGGTTGATACAAAGTTTTCTCCATCCCCCGGGTTCTCAATTAAGTGTGGAGAACTTTGGACTTTTCAGAATTGCTAAAGGCATAAGGCCTAACACTTGAGAGTGTGAAGCTGAAGCAAGCAGGAAGAGAACCAGGATGCAGGTTCTAGCAGTTGACACCCCTTTTTTTCATTATTTTGTGTGCTTTGGATTTTGTAATATCTATATTTTGTAACATCTGTGTTATCACCTTAGCAGCATGTAATAGTATTTTAGATTGGTGCTTTTTCAAATCAACTGTAAATTGAAATAAATAAATATATCCTATGTCCTTCCTTCCATCCTGCTGATGCTCTTACCTTACAGTCAGCAGAGCAATTACATTTGACACTAAAATTTCTAAGGACCAGAGGACTTATTGGCAATCAAGCTAATGAAGCCTGGTAACCAATCCATCAAATTGTATATCAGCTTTTAAAATTCAAGTTCAAGCCTCCTATATTATTTTTCAGGGAAAAAAACATGTATCTGGTGAGAAAAGAGCTCTACCAAAATCACTTATGTACCTTTCTTAACATTTCAAAATTCTAGTTGATCAATAATAGCATTTTATCTGGACAGTGTTCACAGATTGATCAACCACTATGTGTTTAAAGAGGGTGCAAAAGCTGAAGTATAAAGCTGCCAAGAAAAGAAAAAGAGCTAACTTTAAACAACTTAATTGTAGAAAGCCTTCCTCCTGTTTGCTTCTTTTTTCTTCTCCTTCTTTTCTAGATTTCATATTATCAGAGTTGTTTTTCACAAAGAATTTCTGAGTTTAGGTTAAGTGATCTTGTTTTGTCATATTACTCTTGCTTATAGCTGTAATTTATTTTTACACTCTGAAGGAACAATCCAGCAGGGATTGATATTCATTTTATCAGGATTCTCTACTTTCCATTACTTTTTATTTACCTCTTTTAATTTACTTCTTGTTTAGCCTTCTCTATTTTTGTTTAATCTCCTTGAGTATCCTTTTTCTTCTGTTTTCTTTTCTTTCACTTCCTCCTTGCTCAGTTATTTAAATTTTTATTTTAGTCCCGTCTGTAGCAGAAGGCTGGCCAGACAACAGTTTTTCTGGAGGTCTGCTCTGGTAAGCCTCTCTGATTCTGTACTCCTGGTTCACCAACTCCTGACCCTGCTCAGCTTTGTTCCTGGACTCTAGCTTTTTGAATATTCCCCTTGGATCTGGTAACTTGGTCTTTGACTCTTGGCTCACAAGATTCTGGTTTTGACTCCTGGTATACTCTGACTCCAGCTGAACTTTGGCGTATCCTGACTTCAGTACTGGCTTCTGAGTCCTAACCTCGATTCAACCTGTGTTTTGAACTCTGCCCTTGGATTTCCCTTTGGATTACCTGCCCCTTGCCTTGGCCTGTGGTTTGTCTCCTCCCTTCCCCAGTGGCATAACCACTAGGATAGACTGTTCAGAATACTTACAGGTGGCCACACAGCCCAATGGTTTTTGATTAACAGATGGGTATAGCGATGGTGTAATAATAATGGAAAAGGCCTGGGAGAACGAAAGATTTCCTGGAGCAAATTCCCTTTGATGGGGTACAACTTTTAGCCTCAGCCAGATAGCGTTGATTAGTGGAATAGAACAGATGCAGACCTAGGATGAACGTCTGGAGGAGCAGAATTTCAGAAAGACAAAGTCCACTTTTCTAGAAATCTGTGTAGGCTTTGGAATCATTGGAACTGTGGTAGCAGAACATTAGCAAGAGAGATCCCTGTGCATGGAAAAGCATATAGACACTGCCATCTGGAAGTCTGCCATACCCTGTTGCAACCAGTCAGTAGCTAACAAGTTTGGCACTAACAGATCAGCTGTCAGGGCTGTTCTTATACATACACAGGCTATTTTTGGTAGAATGTTGCCTGACATTGTCAAAACATGGCAATCTGCAGGATTTTAACATACCTGGTTGGGGATCCTGAATAGTACCAAGTACCTCAACCAGGCCTCCAAGTTCTTTTGTTAGAAATAATGAGAGAACAAGGCTTGGCTGATGCCTACAGAGAGAGGGCTTGTTTCATAAGCCCAAATCCCAGTGTTCTCTATAGGCTCTGTTCTGCTTCCTGCCCTGTGCTACCTGCACAGTCTGCTGCTCCATTTTCTTCTCCCTGCCCTATCTGCTGCTATACTGCCTACACATCCCCTATCTGCCATGTGCCACTTGTGGCACTCATGCTGCAGGTTGACCACCCCTGACAGACAGTGACTTCATAGTCAGTTATAATCTACCTCATGGGTGTCAAACTCATCTGGCCCAGCAGACTGGATGAATGGTGTAGGACAGGTCCACAGGCTGGATTAGGTCAACAAACCAGCCCCATGTGCAGGATCCAGTGTGCAGGGCTAGTGTGGTGTGGGCATTGCAAAGTGCCCAGCCCAGCCCCATGTGCTGTATGCCACATGCATGCTGGAACTGACCCTATACACATGCCAGATGCCACCTGCAGTGTAGGCTGGAACCAGCCCCATGCACTGCATGCAGCGCACAGGGCTGGTCCAGCACATGCACCAGGGCCATGTCTTTGACACCCCATCCCCATCCAGCTGATACTTGCTAATCTCTGCACTTCACAGATGATAACAACCTTCCTGAACAATCCTGTTCTTCTATTGTTAGGTTTTTACTGCATCTTTTTTGTCTATTGGCTTCCTGACAATTTCTCTTGTACCCTGTTATTATTATACATACAGAGTTTTACACAATCTTTTGTTCCATCTGCTACTTAGCTCTGCTGTGTCTGCTTCTCTACCAGAGACCTGAGGAAGGGTGTGACAGGGTGCACGAAGCACCCTGTCACAAGCAGAACCAGGGAGAACTAGGAGAATGAAACTTACCTCAGGAAACTGGAGAAGCCGTGGCAAACCCCAACGTGATGCGGACGAATGAAGGCACTGGCTGGGGCCGTGGCAGATCAAAGGCTGCCACGGTAGACCCAGCTGCCAGAAATCAAACAGGGAGAAAAGAGACCAGTGCAGGAAAAAAACAAAGAGGAAGAAAGAAAAACCAGGCTGGCAAGCAAAGGAGGAACAGCTGGGTCAAGCAGGCAGCCAATAGGGAACTACCACGCGGGACCCAGCTGAGAGGAGGGAGACTTAAAGGATGCCAAGGGAACACCCAGGGAGAGATGGAAGAAGCAAGGGAGCAGAAGGAAGAAGGAGAGAAGAAGAGAGAGCAAGCAAGTGAAGGACAACTAGCAGAAGACCCCAGATCTTGCTACTTACCTGACGAGGTCCAGTTGGGAGCAAGAATTGGTGAAGAAGTTCGAGAGACCAGTGAATCTGAATCCGGGGGGTGAAGGGAACCACTCCGAGGACCCAGAAGAAGAGGAAAGCAAACCGGACTTTTACTCTCCCAGAGGGGAAAAGAGAAGAGAGAGAGGACCCCAGCCACAAGAGGGTGATGTGGAGGGAACCAGAGGAAAAGGTAATTGTCTTGGGACCCGTGCAGGGCAGAACGGGGCAAGCAGCCACTAAGACCCGGGCTGTAGATACGAGCCTTTGGGTCAAGCTAACAATGAACCTTAGCGGCAGTCAACATCACCTGGAACATCAGGTGTGGTGAGGGCAGGGGATGGGGATGGTGGAGCCCTGTGAAGAGCTGCAGAAGTTCTGAGTCTCTAACCATTCTCTGTTGTCTCCCAGTAGTGGCTAAGCATTATCTCCCATAACACTGAAGGTGTGGCAGGTGATTTATTATAACAAGCCACTACTGTTACAGCTGGGAGGTGACGTGACTGTAGGCGGTGCTGAAGGCCCTTTACAAAGGGTAATCTGATAAGCCAAAAGCTTGCCTATCAATTTTAATGTGGTGTGATCTGATTTGCTGTAATAAAAAGGGGAACTTCTTTTTCTCAAGGTCACTATGAATATTAATAGTGTTGCCATTCTTCTTGTCATTCAGGTCTGCCCAGCATAATCTTTGCATCTCTGACTTTTGAGCCCTTTCTCTGGCCACATGGGTAGGAGAAATGAGCTGTTTAAATATATTTTGAGTAGGTATGGAATGACTGCGGACTGTCTGTTTGTAAGACTAAATGGAAGGTGGCGGTGCCTCATTGCAAAGCTGGAGGCTTGATGCAATATAAACTTGCTGCGTCTTGCATATCTGTGAGAGCAAGTCCTTTCTGGTACCTGGGAGGCAGAGATGGAGAAACAATTTGAATACTATGACAAAGAGCTCCAGGATACATTATGCTCCTATCATGACACTAAGGATTCCCTTGTTTTGCACTATGAAATGCATGCCTTGGGATCCCCAGCAGGGGAACACTCACCTGCAAGCATAGAGCATGGAATGCATGTGGCTCCCTGGGTTGCTCCTGGCTCAGGGCCAGGCACCCAGGGTAGTTGTCCCACAGGATTGGGCTCCTGAAGCCCCAGGAGCACCTGCCCAGGGTGGCTGGAGAACATAGTCAGCTCCAGCCTGCCTGCATTCTTGTACCATAAACAAACAGACATCCACCACAAAAAGGTGTAACAAGTCATTACTAGGAATCATTGTACCACCATTTTTGGGCACTTGAGACATGACAAGTGGAAGGGTCATCTGCTTGCTAGGGTTTTGTGCTGCCATAAACATTTCTATGGTGGCACAAGGGCAATGTCTGTTTGCAGCCATTATGTCCTGAGTGCTCACGTATATCTTCCAATGGCTTACAAACAAATCTACTGTATTTCAAGGTGTACAAATTGACATGGTGTAAAAGTCAACCCCATTTTTCTGATCCAAAAAGTTAGGTTGACTTATACACTGGATCAACGGAAATCCTAACTTTTTGGATCAGAAATATGGGTCCACTTATACCGGGCCCTGCGTGCCCTCACTGGAGGCTGGGCACCCAGGGGCGGACATGTGCTGCAGTGCCGCCCACATGGGATAGAGCCAGTCTCGGCGCTCAGCTGACATGGCTGCACCCAAGCAGAGTCAGCTGAGCGCTGTTCTCCCGAGTCTCCAACCAAGTGGTGTCTCCACTGTAATAGTAAGGCCCGCAGACCATGCTTGGGCCAGGCCTGGGCCCCATGGCCTCCAGTGACAGGAACATTGAGCCAGGACAATATTGGTGGGGCACAGGTGGGAGGCAGCTCCCATGGCCCCTGCCCAGCCATGAGATAAGCAACGGCAGCACAGAGTGGAGCAGCTGGCTGTGTGAGGGGCCCAGCCTGAGTTCCATCTCGTCAGGGTAACTGGAGTCTGCAGATGTGGTACCAGAAATAGATTGCGTCAGGGCTGGGCTGGGGTTCAGCTGGAGCTAGGGCTGGAGCCAGGCTGGGACAGCGCTGGGGTAGGGTCAAAAATATTGATATGGTAAATTGATATGGTAAATTTTGAGGTAGAAATTTAAGGGTAAATATTTTGGCTGCAAACCTCGGCTTATACACATTCAAATATGGTAGGTGGGAAATCAAAAGTGTTTCCCTTGTCTTGGAAAGTGGAGTTGCATGGAAAGGGCCTTACATGTGAAGGACTGAAGGAGGACTTCCAGTATCCTATGTTCCCTACAGAGGACAGGATCTGGCTAGATTGGGGTACTGGCCATAAGTATAACAACAAGGGATTTTCCAAAAGAGTTGTTTCCCTTTGCATCATTTTTGGGAGCTTTAGCTCCATGTCCTTTTGCAGTCAGGGACCCTCCAAAGTCTTTTCAGACTCTGAAAGCCTTTGGTCTTTCTTATTTTGGGCTGTCTGCTGAGATGCTGTCACAATGTCAGTGAACATTTTATTCATCCTCTTTTGCTTCCTTCCGGGAATGTTGAGATCCTCAGCAGCTGATGAGGCTTGCAGAATTTTTTACTAGGAACAGAGAAACAGCACAAGTAGTGATTGTCCCAGCACTGGTGTCTGCACAAAAGTGTTGAATTTTACTGAGTTTTGGACCTCATTGCTTCCTCTTTCCACCTGGTGGATTGTTTCGAGATAAGGTGTAGGACTCTCTATGTGAAGGGTTTGGGGTGGAGCTGGCTGACAAGAGAGTTGGTTCGCACAGGCACTAGCACTGGAGAACATTGCACTGATGTGTGGCCCTAGGAAGCAGAGACAGATGTGCCTCAAAAAAGCAATTGGCAAACCAGGAAGATAAGAATGTACCATGATGTGACAAGATGGGCCCTGGGGCAGACATGGCACCCACTAGGGGCCAATTAATCCTGCCTGCACTTGCAGTCCTCTATATAACCTCCCCTGTTTATCTCGCCTACCATGCCTTAATATTCTTTTGATATCAATTGGGAGGCTGCCTCCAAACCCTGGAATGCTCTCACCAGTGCCTTGCCCAACCTGACTGATCTCTTGTGGTTGCTGGGGCCTCTGCCCACTAGCCAAAATGACAGTTCTCCACATGTGTCTCTTGCATCCCAGTGGACCTACAGATGCCTGGCTAGCACTATGAGCCAATGGTCACCACCTGTGGCTCAACTGGCCCTTATTTAAGCCTTAGGGCTCTTAATCATGGCCTCCAACCTCCCCCATAGCCATGCCTATACCTCATGGGCGTCACTCTCACCATTTTCCTTCCTGTATAAGCTTCAGCTGTCTTAGCCTTAGCCCACAAGTTACTCTGGCTGTGAACTGGTTGCCTAAGTCCACTGGCTCAGTCCTGGCCTTTCAGTTGCAGCGTCTCATCAGCCTCCAGCTGCCTGTGTTACCCCAGCTGGGTTCTGGCTCCAGCCCTCTTGGCCTCAGCCTGCCTTTGTCATCCTACTCTCAGAGTCAGACCCTGAGTTTCATGGCCTCAGCCTGCCTGTGCCTCACACTCAGGGTCAGGCCCTGGCCCTCTCAGCCTTAGCCTGCTTCTGTCTCACACCCCTGCCCCTGGCAGGGCTCAAAATCTGGCATGCCCCTCAGGCATCCTTTATACCCCTACAGTCACACACAGTCCAATGGTATAACACTAGAACAAAAATGCAAGCAACCACTTTAAAGTAAAACACTCAAAACCCACTTCTGGATCATTATTTTACTAACAAGTCACCTCCCCACTCTCTGACTCTCTTAGCCCTGGGAGCACCTGCCATGGCCTGCAGCTCCCACCCTCTACCAGTATGAGTTGACAGGAGCTCCTCTCTGCAGAGTTCAGGGCTGCACTGCCTGCTCTGCCGCAGGTTCCCAGGCTTATATCCCCTGGGCTCCTCCCCTTTTGGTAGGTGCTCTCCTGACTGGCTGCAAGTGTATCCCCTCAGCTTCCAGAGCCGCTTACTGTATTCCTCTGGCCAAACTTGCTGCTCAACCAGGGCTCTGTCCTATTGTCCTATTGCTAGGCAGCTATCACTGCAATAGACACTTGGAGTCTGTGGGTCCCTGCAGCTAGCCCATAATCCATCCCCAACCTGGGGACATCCCTGCTGCAGCTTCTCCCTTAAAGTAATAGGAGCCCCTGGCTCCCTGTTACACTAACATGCAGTAAATATGTTGCTATTTACTAGGATGGTACCCCCCTTGCTGGAGCAGAAGTGGAAGAGAAAAACCACCTCTCTAGATGGTATCGTGAGAAAGCTGCCTTATGTGTCAAAGAGGGTACAACCAGTATTTATGCCTAAAATTCTCTTTTATACAAGCACCTGCAGGTCAGCATGAAGTACAATGCAAAATAGCCTCTTTTTTTTCTTTTACACCAAGGGTTAACTGCACTGAAAGTTTAATTAAAAATAGCTTGGAATGCCTTATACTCTCTTATACTCTTTTCATTCTATCCAGGAAGAGCACGCACCAACTGCTGAAACTTCCTTAGCCTGACGAAGGGTTTTTGAACCCGAAAGCTTGCTTAATAACTATTCTCCAACTATTTGGGTTGGTCTAATAAAAGATATCAAATTCACCCAAGGAACCTTGTCTGCCTTATACTCTCTATGCATTTAGAAATGTCTCTGCAGCCTAATTTTGGCAATTTA